GAAGAACCTTTAGAATGTGCATACCATACGAACGATGCATTATTATGAAAACAAAAATTTTCGAGTTTCTTTAATGTTGGATATTCATATAATTCTGTTCTTGTTTTATATTCATAAATAAATTTCGGATTAGCAAATAGATCGTATGCAGTCTTATTATCCTTAATTTTACCTAAACCAGTTACATAAATATTCGAACTTGAATTAAATAATCCATTTGCATAAACGAGTGACATTTGTTCATTAACTATATTTTTCCAGTTAGGACCAACGATAGCAAAATGATAAAAACCAGCAATAGAAGAATGTTGAGAATTTTCAAACGAAATTCTTTTATATCGAATAGTTAGTTTATTTGAAAAAAAAACGAGATATATTGTTAAACTAAAAACTCCAATACTTATGAATAAAAATAATTTTTTGTAACATGTTGTATGGATATTTATTACATTATGTTTTATGGTTTGCATAGTTTCATACTAAAAAAGAAAAAATATATTTTAATTTGTTAATAGAATTAAGTGACTGCTAGTAGAAATGAAAAAGTTCTGTATTATAATAGAAAACAGTTTCTTTCTATGACTATATATACCAAGTAAAAATGTTGTATTGTGTATTCACTATAGTCCGATTATTGAACTATATAGTTTTATTAAAAAATCTTTTCCTCTATTTGTTTATGTTTAGCAATCATTCTTTTTTTTTCCTATTATTAATAATATCGAATGATTATTATCGTGATTTCCTCAGGAAAAGATTTATTAATAAAACAAATAATATTTCATTTTCTTGTAGAATATAACTTACCTTCTTCCATGAAAAGAGAGAAAACTTTATTCTTTTTTTTTTTTTTAAATTTTAGGAATATACTAAAGAGTGTTAATGCTGATGGCAGAATTACTTTTCTTTATTGTGTATGTAGTCGAGTAGCTATATATCTTTATGAAGAAAAGAAAAAGGAAATGTAGCAGAACACAGAACGGGAAAATATTTAATTTTTTTAGCTGTTAAGAATAAGAAGAGGTAATGAGAGAAATATTACAGAACACATTGTAGCAATTATTTTGATGATATATTTCAATCAGAGGTGTCCATGGCGCCGCTACCGCTACCGCCGTGGCGTTCGCAGCGCGGCAGCAACTTTTATCATACTGTCGTGGCAGCGGTCTGGTAGCCGCAGAGCTGGGCAAAGTACTCGTACTCGCCCAGCTCTGGTTAGCGGCAGCTTTTTCAGGACACAATTTTAAAAACTACTGAAGTGAATGTTTAACGATTAACTGATATTATTTTTTGGCTCAAGTTTACTTTAGGAATGAGTGTGGATGTGGACACCGATTCATCTTTCTTCTATCAACATCCACTCACAGCCACATTGATAAACTGTTCCATATTGGACGACATGTCTCAAATAGGTTTTTCAATATAAAGTACTTCCAAAATTGAATCCATAACATAATGACCAGCAAATAATTTAACTGAATTTGTTTTAAAGTTCATTTTTAATCAATGAAACCATTTTCTGGTCGAGCTCGATTTAACATTTTTATCCATCTTGAGGGTGTGGGTGTGGTTAAATAATATTGTCTTCATTTCCCTTTAATCCACACCCAGCCGATTAATATAACTTCATGAACGAAGGATATCAATGCGCTAATCAAGTATTGCTACTTTATTTCTTATCCCTGTTCAGATTTGGCTGACAGGTGAGAGCATCAAAGAAGGAAAAAATGTAAACAATCGTATAGAATGAGCACAATAACACGAAGAAATGGAAATAAGTTAACAAAGAAGTACTCAGTCGACATTCTTTCGCTAAATATTGATTTTAGTGAGTATAATCTTGATCAAAAACGTCGATTTATATCTTGAAACTCAATTGATTCTGCTTGCAAATGGCATCTGGTACATCGTGATGGTTTTTCCTCAAAGGCTGATTATTTTGTAGCAATTGCCTCTGCTTTCCATCTTACCATATTCACTTCTTTCATCTTCAATTTATTTATCATCATATCTACCACTACTAGTGTCAGCTTCCTATCCTTTCTCATCATACAACATGAAACAATTCCATGGACCGGTTTTTGTAGACAGAGTGCAGTTCGTTTCATACAGAGTAGTATTTTATTATTTGTATTTCAATTTTTTCAAATTATTACAACGAAAATACAATAAAACATTAATATTCGATTTTATTTCAAGTATTTATACAATTATTGTTGCTACTATATTTGGTTTTGGTTTTATTCGTGTTATTACTGACGCTTTTAATGGATCTGTGAATTGAAATAAAACAATAATTACTGATAACAACGAGGTACCGACGAACATAAAAGCAATTCGAAAGAGATATTTTGGTGCATGATTGAAGAATGACATCAACGTAAATATTGTATATGGAAAACAAATTGCGATGACAATTGTTACCAATATAACTAAACGTCGAACCATCTTTAATTCCCTTCTTGCACGTGATAAAGTATTAACTGATGTTACACGGTTACTCATTCCTTTCACATATTTAACTAATTTAAAGTAAATAAACATGAGTAATACTATGGGAATTACATAGGCACAACTTAAGTAATAAATAACGGAGAATGAAAGTTGAAGAGGTAATACACACATTTGATTGTCAGAATTGTAAATAATTTCTCCATTGAAGAGAAATTCAAAAGGACATACAAAACTAAATATCCATGTTAAACAAATCGCTAACATTTGACATCGAGCTGATTGCCAGAACAGACGACTTGGGTAGACAACAATAATATACCGGTACAGAGCTTGTAATAAAAATGAAAAATTGAGTAGAGCACAAGAAGCATAACCAATATAAGTTCGAACAACACAAAGTGCATCCTGATATTGAATTTGTTTAAGATCATTTTCAAGGGCGTATATAAATATACTAAGGATACTCGATCCAAATACAACTGCAGTTAAATATGAATTAGCAGTTAACATCATTGAAATTGTGTGACATGTTTTATCCAGAATGATAACATACAGACAAAGCATAGCAATTATAATGACCAAACTAGTACATACAATCATATAAATATTAGAAACAAAAAACCATGATTGAACATTTGTCATTAGTGTCGCATTTTTAACAAAACCAGTTGAGTCCATAGAAAAACTTGCACTCGTTTGTGAAAGAAATTGAATAGATGAATAAAGAGAGAGAGAGAGAAATTTGAGTTGTATTTGTATCAACATTTTATCTATTGAATAACTCGTGCGTATTATTTCTATAGATGACAAGTTCTATCAAATTATTAATAATATACTCATCATCGTCACTCTCCTACTGAGAGAATGCAAGATTACACTCAAAAATATAATAGATTTCTTGTTTTTTTTGAAAACTTTGTTTAGCAGAGTTTTCGCTACATTAGTTTCTTATCATGTACTTTTACTTTCAGTACTTTTTTATTTTGTTAAATTACTAAAAATAAATTCTCGATAGAAGATTAAACCAATGAAATTAGTTTTGTGTTTTATTATTATTATAATCATTCATGCATTATAGATAATACTTTTCTATCGAAGTAGGGTTGATGAGTAGGCAAGAAAATAAAATACTCATACCAACTAAACTTAATGCTAAAGGAAAAATAAGTGTTATACAGTTAGTATATGATTGTTATTTTATTTAGTCATAATATTGATTGCGTAAATGATTTAGAAGGATATGGTGTCCGTTGAGCAAAAACCATATCAGTGAACGGGTTTTTCAGCAAAAAAAAATGCACGAAAGTCACAACTGCGAAACACTTGTCGTCCATACTCTCATCAAGAAAAATCATTTCGCTGAATTACCTTTAGCTCATTTGGTCCCAAACCTTTATCTTTCGTGAGAAAAAGCTGTTTAATTTGTTGATTATTACGGAAATAATTTTAGATAACACAGATAAAATACTGAGAGAAGTTAAACTAATGAACATGATCATATAGTTCTTTCGTCGATAACCTTGAAGATGTATAGATATATGGAATATCATATTAAATTCAAATTCATAAACATACGTCCACATTCAAGATATATACGACTAGGAAAAGAACATTTGTTAGTAGATTGGCGTATTTCACATGAAAATTTTCTTATGAAAGTATACAATTGAATTTCGATTAAAAAAACACCTTTTATAACTATAGAAAAAAAACTCGAATTCATCAAATACTATGTAAAAAACGAAGACAAATACATAGTAAATAGCTTTAAAAGAATGCTACACAGAGACGTTAAAAAGTAGATTTCATTCTAATTATGAATAGAATCAGCATCAGCAGCCACGAAAAGAAGCAGCAGGACAAAGAAGCAGCAACTCCATTAAGTGTCGAATGATAAACAATTCGGTTGTAGCTGAATTGAGTTGGACGAAAATCTTTATGTAAAACATGCAATGATAATGCCTGTAGTTCATCGTATGAAAATTTAATATGACTATTAAATACCGTCCCTTTAAATGAAGAACAAAAAAAGTTAAGAGTTATTAAAAAATAATTAAAATTCTACTCACAAATAACTGATTCTGTGCATGGTGGTGTCGTTAATGAGCCATCGTATCTCCAAAAATCTTGAAAATTATTTTCAGTTTCCATTAATTGCATCAGATTTGTTATAAACGGTACTTGTATACCTTCATGAATTAGTGTAACTGCATTATCAACATAGGAACGCCACGCGCTTTGTTGTTGATCAGCTGATATGACAATGAAAAAAGCCAGTACAGCTATTTGTTTTGTTATTGGATTGGTAAATACAAAATGTGCTTCGCCGGCACCATGTAACGCATTAATTGTATGTTCTGATCCTTCTGACGGTGATCCACCCCTAGAAAATAAAATAGGCAATGTATGTAACTTAGCTTGTGAGACGTTAAAAAACAGTTGAAGAATAATCATATTGAATCAAACACGCGATATATCATGGTAAGTATGTAAGTAGTGACATACATACTTCTGAATGTAGTTTTACATGCTCATACCAAATGGAAAGGACATGTATTCACTAATTGTCGTTCTTGAATCCTCTTTTTCCAGATTCTTGGTGTTAAATCAAGAAAAAACTCTTCAGTGATCGATCAAGAACGTCGATTAGTGTTACAATGCTTTTTATAGATAATGTTTAGCCTTGAATTTCGTGATGCATCTAGAACTTGACAATTATGAAAAACTCCAATTGGCAGTTGAAGTATAGAATCCGTATTATAAAACTGTACAAAATGTATGTCTTTACTTGCGCCAACTTCTTTTTATAATGCGGTTGTTTTCGCGTTTATACTGACCTTGAGTATAATTTCTAACTAAATACTAACCAATGTAGATGAAAATTTGTGAATTGAAAGATGCCGGGTAGACCGCCACCAGTCAGTTCTAGAATAATGCTTGAAGGTGTTTGAGGTGCTAATTCGCCGACAATGGTATGTCCATTATTTTTTAAAGTAAACAAAAGATATTCTTCGAAGTTCTGTGAAAACAGGAAGGGTGGAAATTTTCTGTTAACAATACTGAAATATTCTAAATTAATTGGTGATTGACGTCGACCAGCACAGACAGGAAATGTTTCAGACCACATCGAAGGACCTATGTATAAAAGAGAGTATGTACAACTATATGATTTCAATCTTCCCATAAAAACAATAAGTTTCTGGACTGTTTATTAAGAAACACGGAGTATTCAAAAATTAATCTCATAAAATTGACAACACTTTGAATCAGCAGAATGAAATCGAAAGAGAATAAACGATATTTATGTCACTTTCATCTGTAATTTTCTTTCTCGTTTCTTGAAGTGATTTTTATATGACACTATTATTAAATAAAGTCTCTCTCTATCCTTTGATATCCTCATTTCAAATCATCGATTCCGTTTTGTTCTCTATCTGAAGATATAATAACGTTCTTATTTACATTATCGGCTCGTTTTTTACATAGAAACAAGAAAAATAAATGTTAAATAAAAAAGAACTATTTAATCGGCGAGAGACTAACCGTAGTCTTCATAGTTCCAATGATCACCGACACCAGCAAAAAGTTCACAGACAAAATCAGACGATAAAAAAAATAAAAAAGCTATTTTTAACGTCATCATGTATGAAGTAGAATTTTGTCGTATGATTTTGTGTTTTGCGTTCTCCTCTTTTCTTCTT